TTAATTTGTAAAATATGCATAAATTATGTCACAATATTTTATATATTACGTATTATTCTAAATTACTTCAAGAATAATTGAAAAATATATAAGAAATGTATTGGCGTTTAANGCCACAATATCACTAAATTGCTTCAAGAATGATTACAACATGTATTGGCGTTTAAAGTTTGTTATTGACGTAAGATATTTGAGGTTAAACTTATCAAAAAATATATAAAAAAATGTATTGGCGTTTGTAATTTAAGGTTATACTCAGTCAAAACCATTGGCGTGCATAGCGACTAAACTATTATACATAATTTGCGTTTGAATTTGTAATTGACTTAAGATATTTGAGGTTATTCTCAGTCAAAATCAGTGGCGTACATAGCAACAAAACTATTATTTATAATTAATGACCCACTGTCATGTAACGTCAATATTTACAACATAATTATTTATAATTAATGACCCACCGGTGGGTCATGCCGTCGTCAATGTGTTAATAGGTCTTTTTTTTTATTATTATAGGAATTACTAACATTTCCCTGTGTGGATTCGTCGACGCCGCTGTCGTTGTCTCCTTCTGTAATCAAAGAGAAAGAGACTGCAGTTAGTAAGGAAACGGTTTTTGCGCAATTGGTCCAGATGAAGGAGTAACCTTTCTTGGGCGGTGATAGATTGGAGGGACTAGGAGATGGCGTCACCACCGTCGAAGGAGTTGTTTGATGGTTGCTCGTCTTTTCTTTGTCGGTGATTTCGATTGGCGGTACGCTTTGGGGCGGTTTGTTTTCGATCACGCTGTCCGGCTGCTGCGGGCTGGGACTGTTCGATTGTTTCGCATCTGCTGTTGCTAGGGGCAACGTTGTAGGTGGACTGCTAGATGCAGCTGCAATAGTAGATGGCGCTTGAGGTGGAGGTGCAGCCTTCTCCTCGTTCTCCTCTATCTTGGACATGAGATGTTGCTGGGCGCGCGAATCCGGCCTAGATGGAGGCAACTCATCCATCCGTCTGCCGGAGACGTCTTCGACGCTTCCTATAGAGCTGACCGATTGCCTCCTGGCGTTGTCCAGATAGGCAGGAAGTTCGGGGTTGCTGCACAAGCTGAAGCTTCTACCCTTCATGGGTGGGCGCTCCTCCGGAGGCAGCGCATCGTCGCTCCTTTCGGGATCCAGGGTTCTGGTGGACTCTTCCACAGAAGATTGTCTGCTGCTGGGAGTGAACAGTTGGGGACGCGGAGACGGCGGCGGTGGCGGTCTGGGGGCGCCCGGTCGCAGTTGCGGTGGGCGCAGAGGGCGCACCGGTAGCGGTGGTCGGAATTGAGGGTTACCCGAAGGTGGAAACTGAAGAGGTCTACCACCTATCGGTGGTCTAAAACCCGTAGGAGGTCTAGGCTGTTGTTGATACTGCTGCTGCTGTTGTTGCAGATACGCCCTGCTGTCCACCCGCTGTAAGGGCGGATGCTGCTGAGGATGCGGGGGCGGTCGCGGATGACTTCCGCTTCCGGTCACCACTTTGCTCTAATCAATTGCCAACCGTATAAGCTTTACACGTCAATAAAAAAAAAACAAACGAGAAACAAGTGCAACGACGACACCATGATTAAAACAAAATCAGCCATCTAGATCTCATACTTAAATTCACTTAAAATTATATCAATATAAAAGTTAATACAACCTTAGAATATAATTTTAAAATGAAGTAAATTTCCAAAAACAATATAAAGTTATTTTTTTGGTTAATTCTATGTTTCATTTTGATAATTGATTTTGTTTCACAGAAGTAACAAAATGTTATGAAAAAGTACAAAATTTTAAATGATATAGTTTTAAGAAGAATGTATCATAATCATTGATAATTGCTTTTGTTTCATGGAAAAAAATGAAACAAATGATTTCTGTAGATTTTGTTTCGTCGCATGAAACTACTTTTATAAAATTATGTAAAACACTAATGTTTTAAAACCTTTGCAATGTTGACAGTAGTGCTTTTGTACGATGATAAAAACAAATGATTCGATACAAAATTTTAAATGATATAGTTTTAAGAAGAATGTATCATAATCATTGATAATTGCTTTTGTTTCATGGAAAAAAAATGAAACAAATGATTTCTATGGATTTTGTTTCGTCGCATGAAACTACTTTTATAAAATTAAGTAAAACACTAACGTTTTAAAACCTTTGCAATGTTGACAGTAGTGCTTTTGTACGATGATAAAAACAAATGATTCGATATTGGTACAATGAAATGCACATGGTTTTCTGGCGTAATTTAAGATGGTTAAATGAAACTAATCTACTTATTTTTTTTAAATAAAGTTGTTGGAAAAATGATCACAAATGTTCTAAAACAAGTGTAAAACGTTTGTTTGACCTTTGTCAAATATTAAAAAAAAAAACAAATGATTCGATATTGAAACAAACAGATGCATTTTGTTTTGCGCGGGGGCGTGCATTTTGCCATTGGTTGCGAGCAGAGACATCGCCGCCCCCATCGATTTCTCATCAATGTGCAATAATAATAATAACAACAACAACGACGTTATTTCGGGGTTGGGCGAAAGTACTTCGTTTTTGTATGTATCTACGTGTGTTTCTCGATTTCGTGTCATGTTTTTTATATAAACAAATGAATAAATGCGGTGGATCGCCTGCTACGACGACGATGACTTTTGCTTTTTTCTCTTTTTCTTCCGTGCATTCGAATTTTTGTTATGTGGTGGCGGTGCCGGGTTTCGTTGTTTCTTACCGTCTCCTGACTCATCGCAGTCGGCTGGTTGAATGCCATAGTAATTTCGCCCTCCGGCCCATTCAGAACCTTATTATCCCCTAGCGACATATTCTTCTCAATAAAACCCTTATTTATTTATTTATTTTCTTAAAATGCCAATTTTTTCTTTCACTTCAGCCTCGACTGAAAAAACGAATTTCGATTTAACAAAACAAACAAAAATCTCTCTAACATTTAAGTTTGCATCTACTTGCTTCTTCGTGCAATTATCTCATCAAAAGACAGTTCAAATTTATTAGATTTTCAGCGTGCTGCAGCGACGTAGTTTTAGATTGAAGCCTATCGATTCACACAACAACAACCAAATATAAATAATTACATTAAACTACAAATATTTGATCTAATTTCGTGAAATTTTCAACCCTCGCTTCTAAATCGATTCTCTCTTTCTACAATCTACATGTGTGTTTGTACGTACGTGAAAGCGAATACATTTTCAATTTACGAACGAAACTTTCAGTCAGCTATGCAAATTTTTCTTTTGTTTTCTTTCCGTCGTTCCGTGTGCAGAAGCAGTAAAAACCGCACCCCTCGCACGCGCGTATCTCTATGTGAAATCGCTTTCTTCCACTTTCGTTTTACAGAATTATTACTCCGTTTATTATAATGGTCGATTTAACAACAACAACAACCACACCGAAAAAAAACGCCTTGTTCGTGGAACTTTTCCTCTAAATTTATGTTAATATCAAATCGCCTGGATTTATTTGGGGTTGTCATGTCACCTGTCAAATTGACGTTTAAATCTACGGTATAATTTTTTTTTGCTTCTCTACTTGGAAATCACAAATATTAATTGAATCGTAATCTAATTTAATTATTTAGTTACAAATAATATTAATAATAATATTACTTCAAATTTTCAATTTATACAAGAACCCTAAAATTAAACGTCATTTCAAGACATGTGACAAGTGACGTTTCACATTTTCAGCAATTGTATAATATTTGTAAATAATGAAAATTAAAGCAATTTGTATAACCTATAAAAGTCAATCTAATTACATAAATCATTTGGAGATGTCAACTTGACGTTTTCTTTATTGTTTTGATTGACGTAATAAAAAGAATAAATCAATTCAAGATTGTCAAAACTGTGACATAATTCAAAAATAGATGTCGTAATCTAATTTAATTATTTAGTTACAAATAATATTTTAATCAGGTTACGCTTCAAATTTTTAATTTATACAAGAACCCTAAAACGTGATTAAACATGAGACTAGTGACGTTTCACATGTGACAAGTGACGTTTCACATGTGACAAATGACGTTTCAATATTTGTTTAGTTTGTATTGGGTATTTTGTATACATAAATCATTTGGAGATGTCAACTTGACGTTTATTTCATAATTAACTGTGTTTTCAAGTTTGATTAACGTAATGAAAAGTAAATCGATTCAAGATTGTCAAAACAATGACATAATTCAAAAATACGTCATTTTTAAATTATTGACGAAGACGGTTCAAATAATCTAAGTGCAATTAATTAATTGCCAATTAGAGCTTATTACAATTACATCCCAAACAAATCAATAACAAGAATCGAAAGACTTTCCAAGAATTTTATTATTGTTATGAAAAATCAGTAATTTTTTATTCTGCAAAAGAATGTTAAAGATGAATAAAAGTAAAATAAATGATTGTTGTTGTCAAAAATTAAAACTTGAGAGACTTGTTAATTTGATGACTTGTTACCATCAAAATTGTAGACGTTTAAAAAAAAGCTGTCATCCATTCAATTTCCACAGAAGAATCGCGTTTTAAACAGCAATGAAAAACTTCTTTAATCGCAATTAGTTTTGTTCTGTTTTTTGTATTATTATTTTGTCGGATGAAATGTAAAATGCAATTGCATGCGATTTTCGCGTGCGACTGAACAGTCGAGAAAATCACTTAAACGGCGTTAAAATTCCCAAAAGAAAAAAAAAAACAACAAACGAGTGCGAAAATTAATAGTGATAAATTGATAATTTCCACTACAGCAATTGCTTCACGATTTAGGACTTTGACCTCGGCGTTTCCAGTATCTTGGAAAATCGATTAAACACGCACAACGCAATAATAGCACACAAGTTGTTGCCTTCCCACATACAATAGGAAACAAACAAAAAAAAATATGCAAATTATGGAAATTTTTTAAAATTTCATAATTTAACTGTGCTTTTTACAGTTCTTTTTTTTTATCTTTGAATACTCTATATATAGTGTTTGTATTGAGTTTAAGACACGGTTTTGTGTTGGTGCATCTATTTGCATTGTCTGCCTTTGTGTGTGCATGTTGTATTCTGTGAGGTGCAATGTTACCTGGGATTACCGAACTTCGTGTCGCTCACTCAACGTCGCTTTTGTTTTTATATTTTTTGTTTTATTTTTGATTAAGTCGTGGATGATTGCGATAAAATGCTGAATCGGAAACAACAAAGTCGACTTGATTCTTTAAAGAAGGGGCGGCGGCGCGTTGGTGTGGATCGTCGTCGGAGGAAAAACTGGACGAGGATTCCGTCCTGGTGGCCGGAGGAGCTGAGGTGAAACCCATTGCGCGGTCGCCGACAACATCGACCCATTTTCGGGCCTTCTTCTCTTCCACCTCCTCCTCATCCTCCAACAACTACACCTCACTACCACCACCACCACTACACATCGATATTCGCCTTTAAACATTATCCATTACTATGATGATCATCATCATCGTCATTATTTGAAGCTTCCTTTGTCTACGCATCCGATTGTCTATTGTTTCCACTAGACGCACCCAATTAATCGCGACGGCCACAAATGACAGAACAGATTTCGTCATAGTTCTTTGAATCCCAAAAAAATATCTTTGCTCTATTATAAAATAATAATAATAATAAATTAATTAAAAGGATGACCAAATTAATTTGCTTACTTAATGGTTCTGATATTTACAAGTAGAAATCAAAATTGTTCCAAGCAAAATAACCCTAAAATTTAAACGACATTTTCAGAAATGTCAAAATTGTTCCAAACGAAATAACCCTAAAATTTGAACGTGATTTTCAGAAATATCAAAATTGTTTCAAGCAAAATAACCTTAAAATTTGAACGTCATTTTCAGAAATGTCAAAATTGTTTTAAGCAAAATAACCCTAAAATTTGAACGACATTTTCAGAAATGTCAAAATTCAATTTGTATTTTCATAATTGTACCAATATTCACGATATAATTGAAACAATATTGTTTTAACTTTGTCAATTTAGCTGAAATTAGACAACTTTATGATTAGATAATATAATATACTGTGATTGTAATTGTAATCTTGATGAGTTAATTATTTGATGATATCTTTATTACTAAACAACTTGATTTGTCATTTAGTTTCATAACTTTTGATGTCTTAGTGGAGTGAAGCTTTTTAAGTTGATGTATTTTAACTGTTGTCTCGAACCACAGAGAAACCTTTTTTATTCAGTTTAAATAAGAGAATAAAAGAAATCTCTAACAGAAAACTTGTATAAAACTCTCACATTTTGTTTGGAGTGTTTCAGTGAAGTTTACTTGTCTCTTTTTTTTATTTGCTTCGTTTTTTTTTTTAATTTCAAGTGTATAAAAAAATAAAAGAGTTTTATATGTCACATCAAGTTATTAAATTGATAACAGATGTCGCATTGTGTAATCAATAGCAACATTGTTTTCACAGCTAATCAGTATTGTTTAAGTGTATTTGTTTATGTCTTCTTAAGCTTAGTTATTTTATGATAGATGCCGCGTTACAAATGTCAAAAGTGACAGGTTGGACTTGTTTATATCAAATTTTGATAGATGTCATTGTTTTCACAGCTTATCATTATTGTTTTTATTAAGTGTGTTTGTTTATGTCTTATTAAGCTTAGTTATTTTAT